CTCCTCCTCCTCCTCCTCCTCCTTTTCCTCCTCCTCCTTCTTCTCCTTCGTTTCCTCCTCTTCCTCCTCCTCCTTTATCCTTCTCCTTCTCTTTCTTCTTTCATTTATTACATCCTGACTGAAGTTTACCATCTCTTCTCTTTTTCCATTCCCTCCCTCCCACCTCCCCCATCCCCATCTACTTCTCCTCTGCTTCCCTTTATAAAAGAGCAGGCCTCCAAGGGATATCAACCAAACATGGCATAGCAAGTTGCAATAAGAGCTGGGTGGTAACCCAGTAGGAGGAAAGGGGTCCCCAAAGTAGGCAAAAGAGTCAGAGACAACCCCACTCCCTCTGTTAGGAGTTCCATAAGAACACCAAGCTACATAAACATAACATACCTGTGGAGGACCTAGCTCAGAGTCATACAGGGTCTGAGATTGTCAGTTCAGTCTCTGTGAGCTCTACTTAGTTGATTCTGTTTTCTTGTGGTGTCCTTGCCACTTTGGGTTCCTACAATCCTTCCTGCCCTTTTCTTCAGGATTTCCCGAGTGCTGCCTAATGTTTGGCTGTGGGTCTCTGCATCTGTTCTCATCAGTTGCTAGGTGAAGCCCTCTCTGATGAAGGTTTTGCTAGGTTCCTGTCTACAATTACAGATGCTAGGCTGGGTTGGTATCCTTTGGGAGCGCCCCCTTCTCTGAGAAGAAGTGGGTAAAGGGGGAAGAGACATGAAGGTGGGATTGGAAGGAGAGGAGGGAGGGGGTGGCATCAGATGTAAAGTGATGAAAGAAGAAAGAAAGGAAGGAAGAAAAAAGAAAAGAAAAAGAACATTATTAGGGACCATTTCACTGATTTCTTCTGGTTTTTTGTTTTTGTATTGATTTTTGGTTTTTCTGGTTTTCTTTTATGTTTGATCCTAACTTAGGTCTCTGGGTTGTCCAGCCTCTGGTTCCTGGCCCTCTAGACAGTGTCAGGCATGGGCTGCCTCTCCTGGCATGGGTCTCAAGCTGGACCAGTTACTAGTTGGCTATTCCCACAATTTGTGTGACATCTTTACCCCAGCGCATTTTGCAGGCAGGACAAATTGTAGGCTGAAGGTTTTGTGCCTGAGCTGGTGTCCCAATCCCTGCACTGGAAGTCTTTCCTGATTATAGAAGCTGGCCAGTTCAGGCTCTGTATTCACTATTACTAGAGTCTTAGCTATACCCTGGCTTTCTTTTCTGGTTCTCCCTGAGACATTACAGGGTAGCAACTAGAACTAGCTAGAGCAATGGTTCTCAATCTGTGGGTCACAACCCTTTTCAGGGACAAATGATTCTTTCACAAGGAGTCATCCAAGACTATTGGAAATATCTGATAGTTACATTCCAATTCATAACAGTAGCAAAATTACAGGCATGAAGTAAACAATGAAAATCATTTTATGGTTGGGGGCCACCAGGACTGAGGAACTGTATTGAAGGGTCACAGCGTTAGGAAGGTTGAGGGCACGTTCACTCGCTTGCCATGAGGAGCCGCGCAAGGGCACGGCTGAGCCCAAGTCAGCCAGTGGCTGGTGGAATACATGCTACGTTTGTGACAGAAGTTAGCTGCACACAGTCTTTAGCGTTGCTGAGCAGAACATGAACAGATTGCGTACACTCTCTAAATATTCCAAGCCTAACATTTTCCAGATTTTAAAATAACTACACCTAATTTCTCCACCTTCTCTGGAATACAGATCAAGCATGATAAATCTATCGAGAATGAATTAAGGCAGCTGTTGAAACATGACTATATTTCGTGGGTTAAAAAGAAAACATATGATGTCGTGGTCATTAGTTACACGAAACAGAACATAGAGAGAGTCAGTTGCATTCTAACATTTTTCCAGAAACCTTTTTTCCCTCAGAAATCTATTATATAACACTGCTAATGTTTGTCCTTTTGCCAAACCTGAGGCAGGTGTAATGAGAAGTGATATAGTCTAATCGGTTTTTAGTTCAGCCTCTGGCAAATGGACCAAGTCACAGACTTCTGGATCAATCCCTCTTCCCTTTCCACTCTCCCTTCCAGGATTGTTCTGAGTGTGATGGGTACTTGGGGAAAAAATATATTTTCCTGGATGTTTGTCTCTACAGAATTTCTTTTTTTTTTTCAAGGAAAGAATATATAATATATATATTCTGTATCAATCTTTTTTAACCTTTTTTTATTTTTTATTAATTACATTTTATTCATTTTGTATCCCCCCATAAGCCCCTCCATCCTCCCCTCCCCTTTCTGCATGCATGCCCCTTCCCAAGTCCAGTGATAGGGGAGGTTCTCCTCTCCTTGAATTTCTAATTACATTTGTTTTGTAACCCATAGGACTACCAAGAAGCCTCCAATTTGGAACAGTTCGTCACTCGATTTTTGTTGAAGGAGACCTTAAATCAGTTGCAGTCTCTCCAGAACTCTCTGGAATGTGCCATGGAAACCACTGAAGAGCAAACCCGTCAAGAAAGGCAACTAATGTTTTATATATCTCTGATGATGATATTTTACTTATGCGAAGGCCGTTGAGGGGTTATTCTGCTTACTCTAGACAAAGCTAATTATGTTAATTAATAGATTTTAAGTAATGCCAAGGACCTCTCTAGGCTATTTGCTTAGAAAAAAACTCACTTGTTGTATGTCACTTACTCAACAAATGTGAAATTAGAATTTAATATGTAGAGAAGAGTTTAAAAAACAATATAGATGATATTAATTTATATTTAGCAAGATATTAATCCCTAAGGACCTAAAACCTATTGCAAACATAAAACATGTATACTAAAAATAAAGTGAAAAGTACAAAAAGCTAGATAAAAGGGAAATAACATGTCATTGAGTTGCTGAAGAGTGAAATATTAAATATGACAGAGAGGACTTTAAATCCACAGCCTGATCTTGAAAATAGGTATACATTGAAAATGTAGCAATGATCAGAAAGGCCTTACTAGAGAGAATGATCCTGGCTCTATTAGAAAGATCATGGCCTTAATTAGCAAGCCAAATCACTTTTAAAATGGAGAAAAGTGAGTGATGAGAGAGATGTAAAAGCTAATGCTACTAGTATATATAACTAACAAGAAAATTAACAACATAATAAAGGTGCTAGTGTTGAAGAGAAGCCTGTGTTACAAGAAATTGACATCAGAATAACTCAAACCTTTTGGTATTTTACTCAGTTGACATTGTTTGTGCCTTGCAAAACAGACAAGGGCACAATTCTTTCTCTTCTGACATACCGTGGTCAATATGTCCTTTTCTCAGCCCCTAGACGTGACTGATATGACACTTGCATCTTGGAACCATGCAGTAAGCCCATTGAACAAAACGGTGGTAACTTATGGATACATAATTATCAAGACACCTCTACTATAGTATAACATTTTCAGCCATGCGCAGAGATTCGGATGAATGGGCACTGCCAGGTTCCTACAAAAGAGCCCGTCGTTTCAGAATTCAGGGAGGCTGTGCAGATGATGGATTTGAAGATGCCGCAGATGAGCGCTGGGTTGCATCCTCCAGTGGGCCCATGCACTCTTCTCCACACGCACGCTTTCTTTTCACTTTGTTCAGTGACTCCACACCAAATAGCAAGGTACAGAGATTCCCATCAGGGAAGCAGCATCCCACCTCCTCCACTCTGAGACTATAAGTGAATGTCTTGAAGCATAATGAAATTGATTTCCTGTGCTTGGTGAGGAAGTAATAGTCCTTATTATTTCTCTGGGTTTAGATCTCATGGATCCAAATTCTTTCCTTTTAAAACTCAAGCATTTGCCACCTGAGAAGAGTCTGAGGAAAGCATCGGCACGCCTCCCACCTTTATTCTCAGGGTTCTCTTTTTTCCTCTCTACAGTTTTTGCCTACAGGGCACACCCAGAACCACACACACAGCAAATGTTCAGTGAACAATTGTTTTTGTCTTAGGCTTCCTTAACTTGTGCTTGCAACCAGAAGCTGTGTAGCCGCTGTGTTTAATGAGAAGGGACAAAATAATACAGAGTGTAAGAGACATAGAAGACAGCAGAGGGTTAGTGAACCTTTGACTGCTAGACTTACAGCCCCAAAACTGCTTGAATAATGGCAACGATTACAGGTCTCTTGTCAGTGTGGACAATGCTGTGACATGGAATTTGACTAAAGCACCCAGAGATGCCCAAGTCCAACTGCATTCTGAGACACTCTCAGGAGTGTCTTAATAAATTAATTTTTAAATTATTTAGAAAAGGTACTCCCCTAAAGGGTGGTGCCCATTAAACCCATTCTGAAGCTTCTGGTGGTTCAGAAGGAAGCGTTCATTAGCCCTAACCTAGAAGGCTGTGCCTCCTTTCCTAAGATTACACTTTCCTACCTTCTCTCTGAAGGCCAACATGAGCAGAGGTCCCAGGACCGGGACCAGTGACAGAGCAAGACAAAACTGCTCTGTCCCAGGACATCAACCAAAACAGCCTTGGAAAAGCTTCCCATGCCAAGGAGCCTTGAACTGGATCTTCAGGAGGACTTGGAGATTCAAAACAACATTCTAAGACTGGGAGAGTGTGTCCCAGCCCACCCCATGCTCGACATCTGTCATCTGGCTAGCTTTTTCAACCTTTTTTGTCACTCTATAATTCTTTGTCTATAAAGCCTACACACACACACACACACACACACACACACACACACACACCTCCAACTCCTCTACTTCTGACTCGTGTTCCGACTTTTTTAACTAGGACTTATACTTATTTATCTTCTCCATCAGTCATTGCATTTCTAGATGCCAGAGGCTTCGCATTGTGCCCCTCTACACATTAAATAAGTAGAACTGAATGAATGGGTGTGAATGGGAAGAGCAGCCACGTTAGGGACAGTGAGGAGGCCAATCCATCTGCTGTCTGGAAGATCTTAAAAGCTAGACAGCTGCATTGGAAGTTGACCCCAATCATAGGTTACTGTTAGTGGTTATAAAAGAACAATCTAATGAAACCAAGGCTTAGAGAAAATTAGTCTAGCAACTAAAGACAGTACATATTTGTGTGAGAAAAGAACAGAGTGAAGAGAAGCCAAAACAGGATTTACAAAACTCCTCAGTTTTTAACATCACAAAGGAGGATTCTATGATACCCTACACAGTCAAGACTTGATTAAGCTTCAGGTTTCATTAAAATTCCCATGGTCATAATAATTTTCTTCCCGTTCAGCACCAGTATTACTTTAGAATTTAATACTTGTGAAACTAGGGGATTCAGACCTCTTGAGAGGGATGGAATCTAGAGAAAACATCTCCTTCTAGAAGCCCCAGGCAGAATCACACAACACCAGTCACCCTGCAGTAATGAATCAGACATGCTGGGCTGGGCATAATGTCTGTGCCCATTCATGTGAAAACAGCAATTTCAGAGAGGGGGGTATGCACAGCTGGCATGTCACAGAGGTGAGATTCTCAGATGGCATTTCAGACCATCTTTGTATCTGCTCTGGCAAACTGGCTAAGTGGGAGCCACTTTAATTCCCTGTCTTTTGGACAAACCTAATAGCCAGTGGCAAGGGTAATCATTATGTGACGTGGAAGCTTCCCTCAAGAGGACCCCTGTCCTATTGCATAAATCCTTCTCCTCACAAGCTGCATTTCCTGGATGCAGTTCAATTACATGTGGATTTTCTTCATATAATGGAATCTCTAAGTTTGGTCTGTTTCCCAAGTTTCTTCCATAGGCAGAGATACAAATGAGTCCCTCTGGGCTTGGAAGTCATTTTTTTGCCTTTTGATAGTTGCCTATTATAGAAGAAACAAATGGCTTTGATTTTACTCATAAGTGATTATAAATCCTCCAATGGCTTATGATCCCTGGCTTGGTCAGAGAAAAGCAGCACTGATTGCCTGTGTCGCCAAAGCATGAGGCTTAGCTGTGGGAAAACCCATAGGGAAAATTTAATACTGGAGACTAGACACACACGAATGCTTTTGTTGTTGTTCTCTGCCTAAACTTTCAAAACTGACATTTTAAAAAATGCCCAGATAGAAGAGTCATGAACACATCAACAGTAAAGGGAAGAAAAGCCACACCCCAACCCCAACGAGAAACCTGAAATCTGAAAAGAAGAGTAGAGAGTGATTTAGACTCCCTGAGAAAGCAGCTCACACAGACTGTGTGGGAGGAAGATGAACATCAGTGCACACAAAGTACCATAGGATGCGGAAGAACTGATAGAGCCGAGCGGAGCGGACAGTGAGGAGAGAGGGAGACCGGTGTACCACAGAAACCCCCACCACTAATTTGTAGTGCTTGTTCCTCCCCAGCCTAGCAACGCTTGGGGTAAACGAGTGTAAACCAAGGACAGCAGGGGGCCTGTCACAAAGCTGAAGATGAGACACTAAGTGAAGGTCTTCATCCTGACCCCCTTTGTATCCTGTGTTCCCAGGTCACGACATAAGGCCTCAGTGTTCAGTTAGGGGACACTAAAGTGGAAGATCTGATTAATCTAAGAGAAAGTCAGAGTCATACCTACAAATAGGCTTAAAGACTGATTGAAAGATGTGACTTGAGCCAGGCATGGTGGCACTAGCCTTCAATCCCAGCACTTGGAGAGGCGAAGGCAGGTGGATTTATGTGAGTTCAAGGCCAGCCTGGATTACAGATCAGTCCTGGATAGACAAGGCTACACAGAGAAATGCAATTTTGAAATCTCCTCCCCTCCAAGAAAAAGAAATAGAGAGAGAGAGAGAAAGCGGGAGAGAGAGAGGGAGGGAGGAAGGGAGGGAGGGAGGGAGGGAGGGAGGGAGGAAGGAAGGAAGGAAGGAAGGAAGGAAGGAAGGAAGGAAGAAAGGAAGGAAGGAAGGAAAGATGTGACTTAACTAATGGCAACACATACAAAAATGCCAACCTGTAAGCCCTCTCTCTGGAATGTAGAGGAATAGGTGGAGCAACAGAAAAGGCAAAGCAAACACAAAACAAAACCAGAAGAAATGGAAATTGTTATGGAGCTTCAGACCACCAGGAAAAGACCAACAGTCTCAATTCAGATTATAATTAGCCAGATTTATTAAAACTCCTAGCAGGGCCACGGCCTCTATGCCAAATCAGAGACATTCAGTGCAGAGGCAGGTAACAGAAGAGCTTTTAAAGGCAGAAACCGCAAGTGCTATTCTGCTCTGTCAAGATTAAATGGTCAAGGGGACCTCATACTAGCCCTTGAAGGTCTGCACAGCAAGTTACAGAGGCCAAGACCAGCAGTTAGTCATAGCTATGTACAGCTATGGTCAGGCTGTGCACTTCTGGGTGGAGTTCAAGGAACTGGAGTTATCAGCAACTCATCTTTTAGGAGCTTGAGTCAGAGACAAACAGCTAGAGAATATCAAAAGAATAATTCAAGAACAGCTTTCAGAACAAGAGTTTGAGTTTTCTGCCTGGTAGAGTAGACTAAGAACTCATTATAATGATTTAAAAAAATAACACTAAGAAATGTAATTACAACATTGCAGAATATTACAAAGATGCGTCCAGACATTCTAAGAGAGGAGAAGCCAGGACATCTGGAAAGGACAATGGGGTCTACTCTGGAAATTAGGGTGCAGATGTCTCTCTCTCTCTGTCTTTTAGTAAAGTAAGACAAAAAGTACATTGGACACATTGGAAATAGTCAAAAAAATCAACAAAAAGAAAATAGTGGAAATAGCAAAAAAAAATCAACAAAAAGAAAATAGCCCAAGAGAAAACACAAGAAAAATAAACCACTCGTTTGCACAGTCAGGAACCCCACAAAAACTAGAAGCCGTGATAGATATGCAGAGGACCTGGTTCTAACTCTATGGAAATTATTGTGGTGGTTCACCAAGAAGATAGGAACCAATCAAGATCCAGTTGACTAATCTTGGGCATGAAGCCAAAGGATGTTTCAACCAATCACAGAGACACTTGCTCACCCATTGTTCTTTGCTGCTTTATTCATAATAGGGAGATATTGGAAGCAACCTAGATGACCCTCAGCAGGAATATGGGTCAAGAAAATGTAGTGCATTTCCACAAGGAGTATTACTCAGCTTTCAAAAAAATGGAATCATGAAATTTTTAGGTAAATGAATGGAACTAGAAAAAAAAATCATCCCTGCATCTCTGGGGAGAAAGCTACTTCATCAAGGTAGATAATCTTTTTGATGTATTCTTGGATTCAGTTTGCAAGAAATTTGTTGTGATTTTTTTGCATCTGATTTCATAAGGAAATTGGTCTGTAATTCTCTTTTTTCTTAGGTTTTAATGTGGTTTGGTTCTAGTAATTGTGACCTCATAAAACTCTATGTTAAAATCATCTGGCCCTGGATCTCTCTTCCCCCCCCCCAAAAAAAAACATTTTTTTTGTTTGTTTGTTTGTTTGTTTGGGAGATTTTAATTACTGTTTCTATATCATTAGAGGTTATTAGTCTGTTTATCTGATCTTGGCTTCACTTTTGTAAGTGGAATGTATTGAGAGAATTATCCATTTCTTTTAGATTTTCCAGTTTGGAGGAGTATAGGTTTTTAAAGTATGTCCTTATGATTCTCTGGATTTCCTCAGTGTATGTTATTATGTCTCCCTTTTCATTTCTAATTTTATTAATGTGAATACTTTCTTTACCTCTTAGTTAATTTGTATAAGGTTTTGTCAATCTAATTGATTTTCTGGAAGAATAAACACTATTTCATCAATTCTTTGTATAGTTTTTGTTTGTTACTTGTTTCTATTTTATTGATTTCAATCCTGAGTTTGATTATTTCTTTCCATCTACTCCTTTTCATTGTGATTTCTTTTTGTTCTAGAGCTTTCAGGAGTGCTGTTAAGCTGCTAGTGTGAGATCTCTCCTTTTATAAATGTATATTCTTAGTACTATGAACTCTCCTGTTAGAACTTCCTTCATTGTGTACCATGAGTTTGGGTATGATTAATACTCTTTTTCATTCAACTCTAGACCATCTTTAAGGTCTTTCCTAATATTTGTCTTGACCAATTTTTTTATTCAGTAATGAATTGTTCAGTTCCCATGGGTCTGTAAGCTTCCTGTTGTTTCTGTTGTTGTAGATGTCCAGCTTTAATGCACCCATAGTGGTCAGATAGGATGCAAGATGTTGTTTCAGTTTTCTTATATGTGTTGAGACTGATATGTGTCATCAGTTCTGGAGAAAGTCTCATGAGCTGTATTTGAGTGAAGTGTTCCGTAAATACCCATTAGGTTCATTTAGTTTATAACTAACTTCTATCATTTCTCTTGATTTTCTTTCTGGATGACCTGTCTGTTGTCAAGAGTGGGGTATTGAAGTCACCCATTATTAGTGTGTGAGGGTCATTGTGAGATTTTAGCTGTAGTAGTGTTTCTTTTATGAACTTATGTGTTTTTGTGTTTGGGGCAAAAATGTTGAGAATTGGAATGTCTTCCTGGTGGATTTTCCCTTCGATGAGTCTGTAGTTTTGTTCCCTCTCTCTTCTAATTAGTGTTGGTTAAAGTCTATTTTGTCAGATATTAAACTGGCTACTACAGCTTACAATAGGTCTTCTTAGGTCCATTTGCTTGGAATATCTTTCCCTAGTCTTTTACCCAAAGATGATGTCTATCCTTGATTTTTAGATTTATTTCTTGGTTGCAGCAGAAGGGGATGGTCCCTATATTCACATCCATTCTGTTAGTCTGTGTTTTTTTTTTCATTATTAGAAAATTGGAACCACTGATATTCAAAGATATCGATGAGCAAAGTTTGTTGATTCCTGTTATTTTGCAGTTGTGGAGTGGGAGGGGGGCTCTTTTGATTTACTGGTCGGATTATTTATTGCTAGTGTTTCCTTGGGTGTGATTAACCTCGTTAAGTTGGAATTTTTTTCTAGCACCTGTAGGGCTTGGTAGTATATATTGCTTTAATTTGGTTTTATCATGCTTTTATCTTTTTGTTCTCTGTCTAAGGTGATTGGAAGTTTTGCTGGGCATAGTAGTCTCAGCCAGCATCTGATGTTTCTCAGAACGTGTAGATCACTTTCCAGGCCCTTCTGGCTTTCAGAGTCTCTATTGAGAAGTCAGGTGTTATTGCTATAGGTCTGCTTTATGTGCTGCTTTCTCCTTTTCCCTTACAGTTTTAACTGTTTTTTCTTTGTTATGTGCCAAGGAAAGAGACTCTCTTTTCTGGTCCAGTTCATTTAGTGTTCTGAATGCTTCTTGTACCTAGTTCAACGCCACAGTCTTTAGAAAATTTTTTCTTCTGTAATTTTGTTGAAAATATTTTCTAGAACTTTGACCTGAGTTTCTTCTCCATTATTTATAGGTTTGTTCTTTCAATAGTGTTCTGATTTCTGTGTGTTTTGTGCCAGGATATTTTTTATATATTTAAAACTTTATTTGACAGAGGTATCTATCATGGAAGCATCATGTCTTCATGCCTGAGACTCTCTGTTCCATCTCTCCAATTCTTTTGTTGAGGCTTGCCTGTGAAGTTCCTGTTTGAGCTGTAAATTTTTCACTTCCAAATTTTCTCCAGTTTGAGTTTTCTTTATTGATTTTATTTCCATTTTCAGGCCCTTGACTGTTTTATTCATTTCCTTCCACTGTTCGTGTTTTCATAGAAATCTTTAAAGGATTTACTCATTTCCTCTTTAAGGACCTCCACCATAATTCATACAGGCTATCTTAGGGTCTTGTTCTGGTGCTTCCCCCAGAGCCTGCGCTGGCAGGGTTGCTGGGCTCTAGACGAGACTTGCTGTCCCGGATGTTACTGATTGTGTTTTCACACTGGCGTTTAGGCATATGAGAATGGAAGACTGTAATTCTAGAAGCTGATATCTGGTCTTAACTTTGTCAGGTGGGTCTTTTGTTCCTTGATTTCTGTTGCCTTTTATGGTTCTTAGGAGAGTGTTGTGACTGTGTGTTGCCTGGTAGAAAATTCTTCTGGCATCCTGATAAGTGTGAGCTGTGAGGATTCCATGTAAAATCTGTTTCTAAGTATTGGAAGCTGACACTTGAGAATGAGAACGGGCTAGGAATGGAGCTTAAGAGAGTCCACAGAAGGGAGGAAAGCAGGGTGTGCTCAATCTCATTAGTAGGGGGCAGAGATTGAGGAGAGGCTGCAGCAGGTGGTACGCTACAGAACTGGAAGTGAGACTGCAGATTGGATGTGGGTGAAGGGAGGGAGAAGTGAAGATCTGCAGTTAGCCAGAGTCAGCGGTGCTCTCTTTAAGATGACTGGCTACCTTAAAGGCTTAATGCCATAACACCACAAACGTGGGGACTATTTTCGCGCAGAACTCTGTGAGAAATCCGAGGCTTAGTTCTTATCAAACAAAGGAAGCAACAAAGAGAAAAATGAAACCCAGTAACACAGGATAAAAAAGCTAAAGAAACCTTGGCTAGTAAAAGATAAGTAAAAACTGCTTCTCTCAAAGGCAAATGAGTGCTATAGTTGGCTGCCTGTGATGGAAAAGGAATACATAGAAAGGGGCTCAGATGCTTAAGGGATTTCTCTAACCAGAGAACTCTCTGGGCCAACCCAAGGCCAGTGCAGCATCTCCAGACACAGTCTCTCTTTTTCATGTCTTAAACACGTCTTCCATTTTCAAGTTTGAAGTCCCTCCTCACATGTTCTCTATGCAAAACAGGGAACAAGAAAGACAAACTTGCCTTTTTTGCTAAATCCACCATTAAAGCTCCTTTCTTGGAAGTTCTTTACAGTCTTTCCATGTATTTATCACTAGCTTCGGCAGCTCACATTGGGAATCTAATAGAAAGCCTAAAATAAAAATACAGACAGAGCAGTTTTATGGTGAGTTCTGATAGGAAGGTAAATGGCATAATAAACATAGAAATGTCTATGGAAAGGGAATGGAAGCACATCTGGGCTTGGAAGGGGAAAGATTCTGTTTGCTGAAGTAAGATTGTGATTATTTGGCTTTTTAAAATGTATGAATTTTAGTAGATTGGAACAAAAACATAAAAGATATATAAAACATAGGTTCTCAAATTAAGCAAACTAGAACACATCATGTACACAAATTTCATTTCTATTAATGACATGGCCAATGTTGGAAAGAAGAGTTAGGTTACAAAATTAAAAATTTATTTGGGCTTAATTTTAAGAATAATGAAAGCCCAGAATATTCTCATCCTTGCATTTGGATATTGGAGTAAAAATCAGCGTGGCTCTCCAGAGCATGTTTGTAAGCAATTAAATATTCCATTAAAAATCCTAGAAACCCCTCATAGTTGATACTTTAGGATTTCATCTTAGGAACAACACACTGAAGCTCTGACAGTAAATGACAGTAAAGATCAATGTTGGCTCTTGTTTCAGGCAAGGGCCAGCCAAGCCAGAGGTCCTGTCTATTCAGTGGCCTGGAAAGCGATCCAGCCGCCGAGTCCAGCGACACAACAGCTTCTCCCCAAACAGCCCACAGTTCAATGTCAGCAGTCCAGGTAAGGCAGACTCCGATGTTCTTTTATCGTGTGGATAAATTAAAAACAGCAGTCTGGCTTTACAAGGAGACCAACAGAGCCACAAAAAAAAAAAAAAAAAAAAAAAAAAAGTGGGCCCAGAGGGCCATGCAGAGACTGATGAATCAACCAAGGACTATGCGTGGAAAGACCTAGACCCCCTCCTGCTCAGATGTAGCCCATGGGCAGCTCAGTCTCAATGGGGGTTCCCTAGTAAGGGGAGCAGGGGCAGTCACTGGCATGAGATCGGTTTCCTGCTCTTTGATCACTTCCCCCCTATGGCCTTACTAGGCCACACAGAAAGAGGATCCAGACAGTCCTGATAAGACCTGATAGGACAGGGTCAGATATTAGGGGAGGAAGACCTCCTCTTTCAGTGGACTAGGGGAGAGACATAGGGAGGCAGAGAAGGAAGGACAGTGGGATAGGGAGGAGATGAAGGAGGGTGCTACAGCCAGGATACAAAGTGAATAAATTGTAATTAAGAACAAGAAAGTAAGAAGGAAGGAAGGAAGGAAGGAAGGAAGGAAGGAAGGAAGGAAGGAAATAAGGGAGGGAGGGAGGGAGGAAAGAAGGAAAGGAGGAAGGAAGGAAAAAGGGAGGAAGGGAGGGAGGGAGGGAAGGAAAGAAGGAAGGAACGAAGGAAGGAACGAAGGAAGGAAGGAAACAACAAACAGCATCTGGAACACTATGGCCCTCCTTGTAACAAGAGATGTACAAAGTTGCCCCTGCTGGGCTTGCACAGGAACTATACAGAAGGAAAGAGCAAGGAATCACCAAGCAAACTAAAAACTGCCTGAAAATGGCAGTGCTTGGTTTAGAAGGCCAAGCATAGGTTATATCACTTCCATTTGAACCACTTAGAAAACATAGGGCCAGTGAGTGAGATGTCTCCATGAGTAAGTGTGCATGCTGCTGAACCTGATACCCTGAACTTGGTCCCAGAACTCAATGGTAGAAAGTCAAACCTCATAGCTGAACCACCTCTCACAGATTGTCAGCAGACTTTCAAACATGTGCCTTGAAATGCATGAATTTCCCCTGCACGAAAGCACATTCTTGGACACACACACACTATCTATCTATCCTTCTTTCTTTCTTTCTTTCTTTCTTTCTTTCTTTCTTTCTTTCTTTC